TTCTCACTGATTACCGTAGGACATCGTCCCTTCATCAATCGCACCCTTTCTATAAACTGTGAAGCAGTTTCTTCTGGATACTGTCTCAATTCAAGTAAATCAGTTAAAGAAACAACTGGTAAAGGATTAAAGAATCTAGCGTGAAATGCCATCTCCAGTCCTTCCCATGTCTGAATTTGTCCTGGAGGCAAACTTACAAACCACGAAAACGCCGTTCTAGTAAGAGATAAACCAAACAGCTGTAACTTATAAAAAGGGTTATTGCCAACTTCTCCTAATTGTGCTGTGAACCGACCAACATGTTCTATGGTGGAAGATCCGTCCTCCCCTGAGAATGCATGAAAGTCGGGTGGTCGAAAATTCCTTGGGAGAGGGTGTTCATTAATGATCCTTTCTGGGAAAGGTCTCTGATATGCAGGGCGGTTAGCCATCTGAGGAGTTAATCCATACTGATCCCTTAATATATGTGCAATCTCGTCAGGATCTACATGAAAGCGTTGATGATCAGGAACATGGAACGGATCCTGCACAGGAATATGAATAGGATCATGTATATATCCTTCAGGCCTGTCCTCCCTTGTATTGCTCGGCTGCGGATTGGTAACCCTTGGTCCCAGTGGAACATTGTTGGGAAAAGTCAAAGGAGATTTTCCCCTATCCATTCGGTTGGGATTTGTGGCACTTGGGAATGTACTATCCACGAATGATGGCCCTGCGAAATTTGCCTGTGGTCTGGACGGTGACACTCCTGGTGGCGTTTGAGTGGGTTGAAGACTAACCCTTGACAGTGCTTGATCTATCATGTTCTGCAACTGACTCTGTTGCTCACGCAACATGTTCGTTTGTTGCTCACGCAACATATTCTGCATAACCAAGGTATGCTGGTTGTTCATTTGTTGAACATAAGACCACCAATCAGTTGGTGGTTGTGGGATTTCCCCGGCATTTGGCACAATGGGTGGTGGAACGGATTCTCCCACCGGTGTGGAAGATGCTTGCGGTTGTGAACCTGCCATAACCCTTCCGATGATTCGGCCGGATCTAAGACGTATGAAATTATCGCCGGAATTGGAATGAGCAATTTTGTCTTTCTCCCACTGTGGTCGCCAATTTGTTGATGTAATTTTTCAACAAAAATAAAGTAAAATTCAAAGATATGAAAAATATCCTTAAACTTGATTAATTAGTGCCTGAGATTAGGAATCTCTAAACACTGTAACGTACAGAAAATAAACTGGAAAATAAAAGACTGAAATTTAAAGTGGTGATCCCCAAATCTGACTTTGCTTTGTTGAAGTTGATTGAAGATATCTTGCCAAATGATGATCCAAACCTTTAAATATTCTCTGGGGAACCGTACTTAAAACCGTCACCCGAACGGTTACAACGTCTCCTTTCCAACCGTCTTCCAACCCTTTTCATGCTGACACGTGTCCTCAGCAGACCAACATTATCCTTATATTTCACTCTTTGAGCCGACCTCAGACCTTCCGCTCTTTTGGCCCGACTTCGTCCTTCACCCGACCTGCTTCTTCGCCCGACCTCACTTGGGCCGAACTCCGCATCAGCCGCCCTCCGTCTTTGATCGAAGACCTCTGCATCTGGCCGTACCTCTTCCTTGCCCGACCTTCCTCTTAACAGACCTCTGCGTCTGCCCGACTTCGGTCTGGATTTGGATCAATTCTTGAGATCTTACCTTTCTTCCTTTTCCCGACCTGAAAGCCTCCCGACCTGCGGACTTCCCGTCCTGATGACTTTCCGTCTTGAGGCCCTACCGACCTGAAGACCTTCCGTCCTGATGACTTTCCGTCTTGAGGACCTCCCGACCTGAAGACCTTCCGACCTGAGGTCTTTCCATCTTGAGGACCTCCCGACCTGAAAACCTTCCGACTTGAGGTCTTTCCGTCTTGAGGACCTACCGACCTGAGATCCTTCCGACCTGATGACTTTCCGTCTTGAGGACCCCCCGACCTGAAAACCTTCCGACCTGAGGTCTTTCCATCTTGAGGACCTCCCGACCTGAAGACCTTCCGACCTGAGGTCTTTCCATCTTGAGGACCTCCCGACCTGAAGACCTTCCGACTTGAGGTCTTTCCGTCTTGAGGACCTACCGACCTGAGATCCTTCCGACCTGAGGACCTTCCGTCTTGAGGACCTTCCGTCTTGAGGACCTTCCGCCTTGTATTTTCCTTAGAAATAAATCTATTTTCCTTGATTTCCTCACGGTGTCCTTCAGCCAGTTCAATCAACCCCATTGTTAGGCCCATTCTTCTTTTTACCTTGGGCTTTTAACCTAATTCTAAATTTCGTACGTAACAATTATACAACACAAAATATTATACTCCCTCCCTCCGTCCCACTGCAAGGTTGCCATTTAATTTTTGGGTTATTGTACTTGACATTAAAAATATATTTATATTTAAATAATTTACTCTACAAATATCATTGTATTGGTATTACAAGGGACTAACAAACATATTTTGTCATTTTTTTTTTCTTGATTTGAACTATGTTTTATATAATAATTAATATCAAAGATCGACATGCAAAAAATTAATGACAACCTTGCAACGGGACGTGAAAGTATATTATATTTATAATTACGGTTCCTTATACATACACCAAAAATACAAAATGAACAAACTCATAATATATTTGAATTAAATTATACAGAGTAATTGAATAAATATGCTTAGCTAATTCATCTATTATGGGTGTGTTTGTTTGGGAGTTTGGATTTTGGATTGGGATTTGAATAGTAAAAATTTTGAATTTGAATAGTTGTATGATGTGATATAAATAGGTGTTGATGTGATGTTTTGAATGTAAAATTGTTTTTTAGTATAATATAAAAAATGAAAAATAGGTGTTTGATTTGATGTTTTTTGGGGAAAAAAATTGGATGAACAGTGGAAATCCTCCAAAATCCTTCAAACAAACACAACCATATATGTCTTTGTTTATATGCATATTTTTCAGAAGTTTATATTTTGTCATTCAAATATATTTTATTTTTTAATTGTCATATTTTAAAATTTTCATAAAAATATGGTTTTATTTTTATAGTAAAACAACATATAAAATTTTGTAATTTTTTTTTTTAAAAATATATATTTATATTAAAATATATCACAAAGAATATAATTTATTAAGTGTATAAAAAATATTATATTGAATATTTAACTTTTATTTATATTTAACATTTTAAAAACTTTTGTGAAAATGGAGTATTGTCTTTAATTCTCTTTGTAATTATATGACAGCCGACAATCTTTGACTGAATCGAGATTGTTATGAGACTTCATTAATAAACAATTATGATTAATAATTATGTTAAGAATATAAAAATTTAATATTTTATATTAAATTATTAATTTTTTTGATAGAATATAAATTATAGATCATGTATAATTATTGTATATATTATATAATTTTTTAATAATATTAATAAAAAATAATTAAGTGAAAAAATCCCGCAATATTTAAAAAAAAATTGCTTACTAAATAAACAGTAAACAACACACTTTAAAATTTATAAATTTATATAACAGTAAACCACAATTTATATACACTAAAATAAATATAGTCCAGTAAGAATGGTCTGGTAATGTGGGAGTTTGGAGTTATGACCCCAAGATCATGGTTCAAACCCTCTATGCTTTAAGTTATCTGCTACACATGATTTGTCTAGGATTTAGTCTGTGCGCAATATAACTATTTTCAGTCTAATTTTTTTATTTATTTAATTTTAAATCAAACTGAGATAGTCATTTTTTAATAACACACGAGATCCGCAGTCGACTCCTTAAAATTACGCATGCCGACAAGTGTATTTGCTACAAATATCTAATCTAATCTAATTTACATATAGCACGTGTCTTTCCCAAACTCGTGTGCCTCATTTCATATGTCATAATTTTTAAAAAATATATCAGAAATTTTATTTGTAAAATAATACTCGTATAACGGTAACTGAAGCTGATAGGGATTGTTTCTTTGTCTGCCTCGCCTTTGGGGTTGGCTTTTGTCAATACCAAATTTTTAAAGGCAATATTGAATTAGCCTAACAAACTACCAACAAAATATGAATACAAACCTTGACATCCATAGGTTACTTCACGACCATGAGACCTAGTAATGAGTTCCAACTGATCTAATTTTTTTCAAACCCACCAATAAGGTTTTGATGTGTGCTCGTAATTCTTAATTTTGCTGTTCGACTGAGATAACCTCAAATTCAAACTTATGACATAATTTTAGGGTGTGTTTTGGAGGATTTTTTTTTCCAAAAAAATCTACTATTCATCAAATTTTTTTATTTTCAGAAAAACATCAAAATTTATTTTTTATTTTTTTATATTATACTAAAAAATAATTTTATATTAAAAACATACTTATCAATCATATATAACTATTTTAATTTAAAATTTTAGCCGTCAGCACATTGGCAGCAAATAAGAAAGAAAGAATGAATAGTTAAGCCTCAGTCACCACTTTGCACTAATTTTGGGTGTGTTTGTTTGGGGGTTTGAATTTTGAGTTGGGATTTGAATAGTAAAAATTTTGAATTTAAATAGTTATATGATGTGATATAAATAGGTGATGATGTGATGTTTTGAATGTAAAATTGATTTTTAGTATAATATAAAAAATAAAAAATAGATGTTTGATTTGATGTTTTTGGGGGAAAAATTTTGGATGAATAGTGGAATTTAATCCAAATCCATCAAACGAACACACCCTTTATGTACGCTTCATTATTAGCCAGCAATTACGTTTATTTCTAATCCCCAAAAGAAACCTCTTTTCTTTCTTTTATCTATCCTTCTTTCTTGATACCCATAATAGCCCATACGAAAGAAGACACTTGTTCCTGCACTGCAACACCAACACCCTCCCTTTTTTACTTTATCCCCCCCCCCCCCCCCCCCCCCCTTTTAATTTGTTTTTTTTTTCCTCTCTCTCTCTCGAAATGCTCTCCTTTACTCCATTATATGAGAGAGATCTAGCTTGATCAAGTGAAGTGAAATGAAGCAAATGGTGTCACTCCAATCAAGCTGAAGTGAAGAACCCCACAACAGATCTCTCCAAATGGATCCCAACTGTCTACTGTTGTTCCTCTTCTCCCTTCCCATTCTCTGCTCCTCTGGTAAATGCATCATTCTCTATACTCATTCAATTTGCCCATTTCTTCCATTCCTACAATACCAACAATTCTCTGTTTTCCCACAGGCCAAGTCACCGTCAACCCAAATCCGCCCACCACTCCGGTCACCGTCCCCGGCGGCGGCGGCGGCCAGCCGGTGAGCAATCCCGTCACTTCACCGACTCCTCCGGCGGCGGTGGCTCCTCCCGGCGCTAATTCCGGCGGCGGCGGTTCCCGGAAGTGGTGCGTGGCCAAGAATGGAGCCCCGCCGGCGAAAGTCCAGGCGGCGCTGGACTTCGCCTGCGGGAAGGCGGACTGCGCCGCCATCCAGAACGGCGGCAGCTGCTACAACCCCAACAGCCTGCAGAACCACGCCTCCTACGCCTTCAACGCCTACTTCCAGAAGAACCCTGTCCAGACCAGCTGCGACTTCGGCGGCGTCGCCGGAATCACCAACGCCAATCCCAGTGAGACCTTCCGCCGCCAATTCATCCAAATTTCAAAACCCCTCTTCTCCTGCAATTCGCACTAACTAAACTCTTGTTTCTTTATTTCAACAGGCACTGGTTCCTGCGTTTTCCCGACCTCCTCGTCGCCGGCGACTTCGACTCCGACGCCGACTACAACCCCAACCCCGACGACGGCGCCGCCGTCGACTGGATCAGCCATCACGCCCTCTGGGTAACGAAAATTCTCCACAAACACCATTGATAATAAAATAACCATCAATTTCTTCAAATTTCTAACCAGCATTGACTCAAATCAGCTCAGGGATGACGACGGGCAATTCTCCGGGTAGTGGCGGCGCCACCGGATTAGGAGGAGTATTCCCCTCCGGCGGGATCGGTGAAAGCCCTGCAAACACCACTACAGACACTTCCGCGGCGGCGGCAGTATCCGGCAGCCGCCTGCAGCCATTGATCTGCTGCATCATCGCGGCCGCCATTGTTGCTCTTTAGAGCTAGAGAAAGCTTTCAAAGTCAGCACTAATTAGTAATTACTAGCCGATTGCATTAATTAATATTACACTAGAGGCATTTTAACGTTGCAGCAATATTTTTACACATTAATTAGGTAAATTCAATTACTATCTACGACCATAATAGAGCAGTAAAAGGAGTTGTTGTTTGTGTGTGTTTGTCTGAATTCTTTTTGGCATATTCTGGCCTGAAAAAGGAATATTCCCACTACCAAATATGCTTTTCTTCTTTCACTTTTTAAAGTTCATGTTTAGTGGTGGGGACATAGGCTGTCTAAAACCCGAAATTTCCTGCGAGATTCACTCTCCCAAAATCGACACAATCATCTGATGTATTCAAAAATACAAAAAAGAAAAAGGGCATGACAAGATTGGATCAAATTTGAAAACCCAAATCAAGAAAGCAATGACAAACATAAAAATGCTCAAGCTTTAACTGGATATATGATTTTCATTCTTATAATTGAAGGGGACAAAAATGAAAAAGACCCCAACAATAACAGCTAAACTTATATGTACATAAGACAACATATAGAGTCATATATTGTCCGCTAATCTTCTCAATCTCACATACAAATGGTAATAAACTTCATGTACAAAAATTGATGTTATTACCTCTTTGAGAACATTACCATGATCAACATTGATAGCGAAGCTGCAATCCGGAACCCCGGTGTGTCCCAGAAATTTTTCTTCTCGCTGCTCGGAGACTCTGACATATTTGGTTGTTGGGCTGCCAGCTGATCTCTCAGCTCCTTCAGAGCTTTGTCCCTTCGCTCTCCCATCTGAGACAGATGACAAGAGTGGCCTTAGAGCCATAATTATTTATAAACCATGAAGTTGTGTAGTTTACGATTTTTGAATGAGGGATGGAGTGTTACTCTTTGGAGCTTGCGAGTTTGGGACCGTGCTTCGTGGAGGCAAAACTCCAACTTCAAAACTTTCTTTTTCATGTCTTGATCAATCCTTCGATGCTTGTCCAACTGTCGAAAATGTATATTGATTATAGAGCATGCAATAGACAAAATGAATTACCAGCCACGGGATAAAGCAAGAAAAATGAAGCAAACCTGAGATTCCAACTCTTCAGCTTTAACCTTCCAATGTGCTGACATAACTCGGATGTCATCTCTCAGCTTAGTAATTTCTTCGTCTTTTACCACCAAGAGCTTATTAATCTTATCAAAGTTTTTTGGGGAGACCTCATCTAGGATTCTTCGAAGTTCACAATCATTATCTGCTCCTGCTTTGGTTAATGCTTGCACGATCTCATGTTCAATTCTCGTGACTTCGTCTTTGAGTTGCATTTGAGAAGATTCTCTGGCTTGGAGATCCTTCTGCAGTAGATCTAGCTGTTGTCCAAGCTTATTAACACGATCCTCGTGTTCTTTTAGAGTGTAATTCTTCTCGTGTAACTCTTTCACCAGAGCTGAACACTGTGATTGCGCTGATTGCGCAGATCGTGCACTCCCATCTGCAGTTGCTCTAGTTGCTAAAAGCTGCTGTCTTAGATCCTCCAATTCCTTGGCATACTGCAGCAAATGACCAAGGAGAATATATATGTAACTAGGAAAGTTTACAGAAAAAATATATATACACATTTATCCCCCATGCAAAGGGTACTGAATTTAATTTCAATGAAAGAGAAAAACATGATACATAAAGATGTAAGTTTTCATTAAAGACATTTACATGTCAAGATTTCTTCTACATACATCAATGCTCCCCGTCAAAAATGCCAAAATGGCATATGCTTACATTTTTAAATAGGACAAGAGTATGAAATAACACAGAGAAGTAACTCAATAAAAGCCATTCATGCAAAGAAGAAAATTATTCAAATTATTAAATGTTACAGATTCCTTTCACTTGTGTTTTCAATACCCTTTTTTGCACTATGCTATATATATATATATATAAATCCTGTCCAAAAACACCATTTCCATCACACAAACACTATAGAAAACACATAACATTTGATCAGTTGCTTACAATAAAAAAACATTTGATCAGTATTTTTCACTCAAAAAAATCAATTCAAAGCAATCTAAAACTCAACAACATTCCAAAACACAAGTGTGCAAGAGGGCAAAGTAGTGGAACCATTCAAACAGCAACACCCTTGCGGCCATATAAAATTATAGAATTAAGCACTAAATTTGAGTATCAATCCAAATTCCTAAATAGAACAAATCACAAACGCCGAAAAAAGCAGGCCAAGTCAATTTGTGCAAAAATATAAAAATAAAAATTCAAGCACTAAACATCGAAAAGCAAGATTCCACTTCCATACTTTACAAAGTGTTGAACCAATTTTATTTATTTATTTTTAAGAAATATATGAACCTGTGTACCATTTCAGAAGCGGATGTTGAAGCCTGCAGCTGCAAATTTTTCTCCTCTAAGCTCTTTTCCAGCATACGTATCTCCTCCTCCATCTCCTTGGCTTTGATTTCTGCTTCCTATACAGAATTCAAACTCCATTAAGAAAGCTAAAGAAAAAGCTGCCAGGTAATTTTCAAGCTTCAAAGATCCCTCAAAATGAAGTCAGTGGGCCACAATCTTTATTTGTGCAGAACAGAACAAAAAGACCACAATCATTTCAAATTCAATCGAATTCAGGAACATTTTTGAAACTAAATGCAATCAAACAAGTTAGAATCTGTTGCATGCCTGTCTAATTAGGGCTTCTTTGGCAAACGACTGCTGTTGAGAAGCCAGGCGGCTGCGCACCTCCTTGAGCTCCGCCGCCAACGACACCACGTTCCGCCGGAAACTTTGTTTTTTCTCGCTCAGGTCTTTCAGCAACGGATCCACCTCCCGAACTGCCGCCGCCGCCGCCGACTCTCTCTCCGACGCTGACATCGCCGCTTGAATGATTCAAGGAGTTACACTGAATCGAGACCTAAACAAATTAAATACGAATATAATATGTTTTGTGTTCCCTCTCATACGATTGAAAGCTATACCCTAGCCCCACCCCCACCCCCACCCCGCCCCCTCGACCCCCATCGCATACGGAACACAAAATCTGCATGTGAACACGTTGCGTGCAGCATTTAACAATTGGGAGATGCCGAATATAAAATCAACAATCAATTATTGCAGATCATAACTCGATAGTTGACTAATCTGAATTATATGTATATACTCATAGTTCAATTATTCAAAACAAAAGGTACCAATCTATCCATCTATATTCTATCTATCTATGTCGAAAATTGACGAACCTCGGAGAGTGCTTTGCTTCAAACATCCATGGCGCAGAAAACACTACAGCTGCATCATACCATTTCAGACGAGATCAACAACCAAACACACTACAAATCAGCTAGATTTCGAGATTGAGTAAATTACGGAACCTGAACTTGGCAAGTGTCAGCAACCTATAATAAATCAGCAGAGGTGAACTCGACAGAGACGGGACAGGAACTCAACAGCCGTCGATTCGCTTCGCCGTAGTGCGATGGACGGCTGGAAATTGGTTAAGGAGAAATCCAAGGGTGGAGATTCGTCCGTGGTGGTTCGGGCGATAAGCACGAGAATCATGCGTGGCTGACGAAGATTGGGAGAGTAGAGGAGGAGTTGGTTCGGAGTATCCGAGCCTGGGAGTAGTGTGATTAGGACAGAATTCGAACCTGGCTCGGATGATCTCAGCGCGGTAAAACTTTATGTAGGCTGGGCCAGAACTATAATAAGATGGGCTATATTTTTGTTTAGATTTTTTCTGCACTCAGCTCATTTTGGGCCCACATACGAATGGTCCAATATTTTCAGATATATACACGCTTTGTTTTTTTTTTTTAATAATGCCACTATTTTTGACAATATATACCTCCGTTAACAGTTCATTTATTCGAATATTAATTACATAAATATTTTTATTAATGTCTTATTATACTAATAATATATTACATTTGTAAAAAATATATATATATATATACAAATATAATAATATTTTTAAGGTAAAAAAAATTATCAAAAAATACAAATAGATAAATTAGCGGTTGACGGAGATAATATTATTTTTTATGCGAAATTTAAGATATAATAATAAGTTGTATTAAATAAAATAAATTAAGAATGTAAGAATTATTTTTTATTTGAGTAATGTAATATAATAAAATTTAGTTAATTGGATGAAGTATTAATTTTTTATTATTTTAAGAATTTTCAAAATTAAAGGAAGCCATAATTTTTTATTTTTTTTTTATGATTTCTTTATTAAAAAAAATCTATAATCTATATTTCACTATTATATATTGAATTAATTTATGTATATATTGGGTTTGTTTCTTTTCACATAATTTATTTTATACACTTATTATTTTTATATTATTTACATAATTTTTAAAATACAAAACTAACACATCCATTGTATTTTTTATACTAATACCTAAAGATATAAACTAACAAACTCTATTGATTAATTTAACTGCCAAACTATTTTAATTTCTTTGAATTTTAAGTGTATTTGATTTGTATTTTGTAAATTTGTAAATAAAATAATAGTTTAATGTATTAGAAAAACTAAACATATTTGTACTGAAAGATAATAAACTGTATATTAAAAATTTTAAAAGATGAAAAAAGGGAAAAAAAAAAAAAAAACCATTAAAATTATTAAAATTAAACAATGGTTTTTGGAGGTATAACAACTATTTATTTTTTATATTAAAATTATTTATTTTTAAAATTAAATATAAATAAAATTATATCAATATTTATATGATTGTGTAAAAAATAAGATTTTATAAAATAAAAAATATAAAAACAAAAAAATAGAAATAATTATAATAAATATATAGAGGAAAGAGGTGATTGGGGGTGGCCTAATAATGCTTGTTCACTTTATATTACAGTATTATAGTAAGGTACTAAAGAATCTGATATCAATTACGTGCCAATGCCAAGAACAAGCATTCTTAGTACCTTATCTAGATATATACTTAAATAATTTTGAATTCTAATTTAACTGTCACATACACTATTATGAAATCAATACATGGTGTGTTTGTGCGGGCTTAATTTTTAATTGAAATTTAAATAATAAAAAAATTAAATTAAAATAATAGTACAAATTAATATGATTTTTAAATATAAAGTTAATTTTTAATATAATATAATTGTTACGCACAAAAAATAATAATAATAATAATAAAAATAAGGATAGCAGGATCTTAAAGAAGTTAGACACGAAGTCCGGTGGAAAGGAAAAAAAATTTGTCGTTCAGGTCGGTTGGTTAAGTCGGTTGGTCATCGGTCGGTTGGTCTGGTCGGTTGGTCCTCGGTCGGATCGGCAGGTCGGAAGGTCTGCGGTCGGATAGGCAGGTCGGTTGGTCCTCGGTCGGTTGGTCTGATTGGTTGGTCCGCAGTCGGATAAGCAGGTCGGTTGGTCCTCGGTCGAATAGGCAGGTCGGTTGGTCCTCAGTCGGATAGGTAGGTTGGAAGATCCGCGGTCGGTTGGTTAGCGATCGGATAGGCAGGTCGGAAGGTCCGGGGTCAGTTGGGCAAGTCGGTTGATTAGCAGGTTGGATAGTCCATGGGTCGGAAAGTCTGGAGGTCGAATGGTCTGCAGATCGGAAGGTTTGCTGCTGGAACAACAAGTCGCTGACCATTGAATCGTCTGGAGATATCAGATGTTGGTCGCTTGATGGACGACCAATAAGTCGTTTGGTCTAGCGACCAGCGACCAGTTAGTCTCTGGAATGGTTGGTCGGGCCAGTTGAGTTATGGAATTGTTAGAAGCGTTTGGCTAAAACACGCGTCGATAAAGGAAGACCTTGTGGACGGTTTCCGTAACCGCATGTTTCAAAACGGTTCTTTGTGGGCGGTTGGCGGCGATTGCTAGCTACGGTTCTGAAACGTTTTCTTGAAGGAATATTTAAGGATGCGGAGTTTTTATCTTCAATCATCTTCAATCGACATCAAATTCAAGAGAATTGCTTTTGGGATCACTACTTTATTTTTTATATACCGTACAATGTTTAGAAATTTCTAATATCAGACACTAAATATATCAAATTCGAAAATAATTTCTTATTTTTAAATTTTATTTTTTATTTTTGAAAAAATAAAAAATACATCAACAATAACAGTAAATTTGAAAGTTCAAATAAGAAATAGCATTAATCAATAAAGAAGGCGAGTGACAGTGACTCTGTCATTTATGAGTCGTCGTCCCCACCCACTGACGTCTGCACTTCCTCTGCAGCAGCAGTTACATCCGCCGTTGATTCGCACTGGAAAATCGAATTCCGAAGCTAAACCACGACTCCAAGTCCAACAAAGCCAACTAAAGTCCTGCCCCACTCCACACTCATTCCCAATTCTACTCCACTCTCTCCACTTCTTTTTTAACTGCAACTTTATTTTCATCTCATTGAATCAATGCGCAACTGCTCCACCAAGCTGCTTCCCAAACGAAAACCCTCGGAATCGGATCGATTTAATTTGTGATCTAGTTGGACGTGATTGATGGGTGGCGGAGGAGTGCAGCAGCAGCGGGATGCGGCGGAGGAGCAGTATGTGAAGGCTAAGACCTCCGTCTGGTGGGATATCGAGAACTGTCACGTGCCGAAAACGTGCGATCCACATGCTATTGCGCAGAATATAAGCTCCGCTTTGGTGAAGATGAACTACTGTGGCCCTGTATCGATATCCGCGTATGGGGACACCACTAGGATCTCTTCCGGAGTTCAGCAGGCGCTTAACAGCACTGGCATCGCGCTCAACCACGTTCCGGCTGGTATATTTCTAGCCTTTTGTTGCTGGATTTGTGTACAATAGATTTTTATTTCTAATTTTTTTTGGTTCGTGTTGATGCTTGCCGATTGGTTGTGATTTATGTTTCTGTGTGTATACAATTTACTGTCTCTCTCTCTCGTGTTTTGGTGGTGCTGAAACTATGGCGAGTGCTGTTGCTGAATACCCTTAACTAGTTTTTCAATCTGATGTGTTTACCTTTTCATTATATGCCGTGAAATACATATTTTATGAAGGGGATGGAGACCTTGGTATGGAAATTAGTATTTTTTGTAAACCTTATTTGGATAAGGTACTAAGAATGCTTGTTCTTGGCATTGGCACGTAATTGATGAATTAAGTACTAGCTTTGACTAAAACGAGGTCTTCTGAGGAGGTTTTAACCAAATTCCAAGTTGCTTGACTTTTGGATTACATCCATTTTTCTCCCTTCTTTAACGTAGACTTCAGGGTGTCTGTACCCCTTGATTGATATCAAGATAAATCTTGGAAATTTTGATATTGATCATTTCAAAGCTTTCGTCGTTTCAGCACTAATTTGTTGTGGGGCCTAAATTCTATTTAGTCTAATACAGGCTTTTCTAATTTAGATAGAATATTGCCCAAGTATTTGGTTATACTTCCACGAGTTAATTTGCAGTTGTAACTATGTGATCTTGCTTGTAATGGCTTTTTAAGAATGCTTGTAGTCATGTTTTTAAAAATTGCAACTCATTGTAGATAAATGCCTTAATTGTTGTAAGTATTTACTTCAAGTGATCCTTATCAATTGGTTTATATGGTGATGTATAATTAAATTGCTTAATAATTGAATTTTATATATGTTTAGGCGTGAAGGATGCTAGTGATAAGAAGATTCTGGTGGATATGTTGTTTTGGGCTGTGGACAATCCTGCACCCGGTACCTATTTGTTAATATCTGGAGATCGAGATTTCTCAAATGCTCTTCACCAGTTGCGTATGCGCCGATATAATATTCTTCTAGCTCAGCCACAGAAAGCTTCTGCACCGCTTCTTGCAGCTGCAAAGAGTGTATGGCTCTGGACTAGTCTTGTTGCAGGGGGACCGCCACTTGCAAATGTTGAGCCTTCCCAATTTGTTAGAAATGGAACCGGATATATATCAAGCTCTGAATCTTTGAACACTGAAACTGTTCAGGCAACCCAACCTATGAGTTCTTTTCACGAAAGCGCCTATATGGGAAATCCAAAAGTTACAAATTTGGGAAGAGGAACTGACCCAAAATATAAAGGGAAACAAATTCGCAGAAACTTCACTCAGCCTAATATGCCAAGAGCTTCAAATACTATGGTTGGAGTCGAAGAAGACTACAATAATAACAGCCTCCAACAACTGGTGTATGGGCACCCTATGCCATTCAGCGATGGTACTTACTATCCCAATATTGCAACTAATGGTCCTGGATCAGCTTATGTTCATGGTATTCCTGATTCTTCATGGACTAACAACAGTAACTCTCATGGGTCTCACCAAAATCAGTATTCTCAGCCAGCAAAGGGAAATTGTTTCCCAGTTGAACCTGCATCGTTGCCAGTTGGCTCAACACTAGCTAATCAGCAGTGGCATCCTCCGATTACAATGCCAAGATCTGATTCACCAAACTTGAACTCTGGTAATTCAACATATATACCTGATATTGGCGGCTTAAGCATGTCCGAGTACCCCATGTACAACCACAACTCTCCTGGACCCCAACCACGAAATGGTGGAGGGAAAAGACATACTTCTAGTAATTCTCCGAATCGCACTGGCTTTAACAGTCCCCAAAAAGTATATAATCCGCAGAAGAAATCTTTCTATCAGGATGCATCAGCTAACCAATTATCCCTTGGTAATCAAGGGACTCCACCTCCGCCTTCTGCAGTGGAAACTGACGCCATCTCTGATTACAATGTTTGGGGGACGTCTGAGTGCCCCATGCCTTCTGAAAATACGCAAGGTCTTATTGGGGTGATTCTTCTTGCTCTAAACACCCTAAAAAACGAGAAAATTGTGCCAACAGAAGAAAACATTACTAACTGTGTTAGATATGGAGATCTCGGACATCGGAATACTGATGTTAAGAAAGCTTTAACATATGCCGTAGAACAGCAGTTGGTGATAAAGCAGCAGTTAGGTACCCTGCAGTTGTATGTTGGGAAAAATGAGAAACTTTGGCAATGTGTAAATCCTATAGGCGGTAATATCAATCACTTCTCAAAAGTGACATGGGATGAAATTCAAAAATTTCTTTCATCCTCTGCTGGGCGAACTGCCATACTCGAGACTCAATGCAGGTATGTACCTGCTCTAATTTTCTTAATTATATCTTTTCTAGTTCTTCCTTTTACTTATTAATTTCAAAGTTAAATATCATTATTCTCAATCTTGTCAATTTGGTGCCTAGGTATGAGGCAGCTACAATTATGAAAAAGATGTGCTTGAAAGAGATTCCGTTAGGGGAGATACTCCAAATTTTGCACATGGTAGTTAACATGAAAAAGTGGATTATCTGTAATTATCAGTCAGGATGGAAGCCAATTAAGATTACAGTAGCAGAGATCAACCCTGAATCAGGGTTGATAGCTGCTACGTAGTCTCATACATAAGGTTGAAATGGGAGGGAAGACAGGCCAAGATTATTTACAAGCTTGCAAGTGATGTTGGTTGATTTGCCTTAAGAATCGGTAATACCCGGCCTGCTGTTCCCTTCCTACACTTGGCTGCTAATAAGCAGCCTGGGATAGTGAAAAATTGTAGTTATTATCTCTTTCTAAGATGACTTTAAATTGTTGTCTGCTAAAGGTTCACTTATGCCGGAACCATCAAGACTGTGGTAAAGCTTGCTGTGAATCATAAGATCTGCCTGGAATATCCTGGAATACTGATCTCAAGTTAACCTACATGCATATGAAGCTTAAGGATGCTATTCTCGAACCTGGCGATAAAATTTACCCACTGTTACTAGTATAAGATTCTGGTCTTGTGCCATCTCTTGAATAGTCAGGAATGTTACTTGTCTGGAAGCTGCCCTCCTATTGTGAATGAATCGAGTTGTTGATTTTCCGCTCAAATTAAGGATTTCGGTGACTTGGCAGAAAGGGAGAACTATGATACCTAGATTTGAGACAAAAGAAATAGTTCTACAATAACACTTGGGAGGAGCTTTTTTGGATATTCGTTATATTAGAGCTGCTTTTGGCCTCAACAGGGTTTTCTTATCCAGCGCGGATTCGGTTCTTCAGAATGAAATACAAAGGGGTTTCAAGATTATATAGCACTGTGCATTAGACTGTCATGATTGTTGGCTATACAATCCTGGATCCAAAGAAAACAATGGATGTAGAAAACGTCAAGATCTACATATGTAATGTTCCTACCTCTGTCAACTATGTAAATAAGTATCGCCGTCATCTCTGCAATGCCCATGGCTTGGCCTAGCAGAGCCCCGAGTTGTGAATTCGCATGTTGCTCTCTAGTTTCAATGGTAACAACTAACATTTTACATGATATCTCTAGTTTCTCATGTTGTGGTTCTCGGAAATCGAATTTGAAGTGAGTTTTTGAATTGTTGGGGTATGAAACATTGAAATGGTTTGCTGAGTTTGTTGAATAGAGTTTCTTTGGGCAATTTCAATGCAGCTGGAAATTTATATCGTTTAGATCCGGCACTAAATTAGAACAAATATTGATTTATTGATTTTAACAAAAATAAGCTTTTGAATGAAGTAAAACTTATCAACACTATTGCTACAGATCACCTAAACCATAGATGCCTAAACTAAACAACCAAAGTTTAGAAAGCAAGGATGTGTATGTTTGAGCAATTGAATTTTAAATATATTATTCAATTTAAATTTTTTTTTTTATATTAATTAATATATTATATTAAAAATTAATTTTATATTAGGTATACAACTAAAAATTCAAATAAACACAATGTAAATGAACATCGCCATAAAAAGAAAAGGAATAAAACATATATAAATATAATGCATAAATAAAACCCCTTTCTTGTGTGAATAAAATTCTTTCTTCACTTGTTATTTAAGGTTAGACCATCGGCATTTGTTGTTAGTCATCTATGTTCAATACCCAAAAATAAACATATAATAAATTTGACCTAAAAGAAAAAGAAAAAATCGAAAAATAAAAGAACCCTAAAACACCTTAGCCTAGCAATCCACCAGAAACTCTTTACAATTCGACTTGTTGTGCCCTGTTCCCTTGCATCTACTGCACAGTATTCGTCGTTTCCGACCGTCTTGCGGCCCGGCTTTCTTCGTCGTTGGCCGGCCGCGCGGCCGACGAGTCGGCGGAGGAGTCACAGTCACCGCCAACTCCGAACCGCTCTTCTCCCCCGCCGCCGCAACACCCATGTTCGACGTAGGAAGAATTGACTGCGAGTACGTAGTTTTGTAGCTTTCGACCGTGAAGTATTTCGAACAATAATCGTACATGCTGCGGTCGAGACAACTAATGACAGCAATCGCATGGCGACACGGCAGCCCGGTGAGCTGCCATCCCTTGCAAGTACAGTCCCAATTATCGACATCGGTCATATCAGCAGTCTCGCCGATAACTTCAAATTTTTTACCTGCCGAGATCAACACTTGAAGGGTCCTCGCTTTAGCGCTCTCCTTCTCGAGCTTTTCTTCCATCACTGGAGTCAGCTGGCTCAGCCAGTCAACAGATTCTGCACGCCGCGAGCAGAGTAGCTCCGTAATTTTACCTCGGATTGCGTCGACCATCTGGGTTATCGGCAGCTCGTGCGCCTCGCGTACCCATCTGTAAAATGGCTCCCCAAAATTCGACGCCAAATGGTTATATCTTGCGCCCCGAAAAAACGCGTTCGCCCAATGCACAGGTTCGCTTTGCATAATCCAATCGTGCGCGTGCGCCGATATATTTTTTATGCTCTCCATACACCTGTGAAAGCCTTCGGGTGTAGGGGCGAGAGCCGCAGTCCAAAGATCGTCGACCAAAATTCGCCTCACTTCTGGCGAGAAATTACCCTTCAAATCCTGAAGAAGTTGCTCGGAGAGATTCGCCAAGCAGAAGCCGTGATAAACATCCTCGTCTGGAAAAACTTCAGAAATCGATTCCCTCAGCCCCTTTGCTCTATCGGCGACAAAAGTCAATCCTCGACAATTCGACAGCGCCATTTTCAGCTCTAGCAAAAACCAGCGCCAATTTTCCTCCGATTCCACGTCTACAACTGCAAAAGCCACGGGAAAAAATCCGTCGTTCCCATCAGCAGCAGTGGCAGCCAACAGCGAGCCTTGATATTTTGCCTTTAAAAAAAGGCTATCAAGGAAAAGCAGGGGACGGCAGCCATGCTCGAAGCCGTACAGAGAAGCATGGAAAGAGACAAACAGGCGCTGAAAGCTCGAGTCTTCTTTAGTGGTGAAACTGGCTCGGCTTCCGGGATTTGTATCCATTATCTTGTTACAGAAAAACGGTAACTGACTATACGCCTCCCTGTACGAACCTTGAAGCTGCTCTCTGGCAATCTCTTTGCCTCGCCAAGCCTGAAAGTAGTTTAGCTGAATTCCGTATTCCCGTTTGATGTCATCAACAATGTCCTTCGGCTTATAGTTTGGGTAAATGGCAAGTTTTTCCTTTACGACACTAGCAATCCAGCTTCTTGTTGCCTTACAACCATTTGTTCCCACAGAACCTTCACATGTATGCGTCGGATTCATTTTCTTAATGCAGAAAAGTGCCGTGGTCGACAACCTTGATGCATGAATTCTCCACGGACATCCCTCTGCTTTGCATTTTACAGTAACGCGGTCGCTGTCGTTCTTTTTGTACTTAAACGCAAACTGATGAGCGATAGCATATTTGCGCAAAGCCTCACGAAATTCATGTACGCTGTTGAACCTCTGGCCGACGCTGGTAATACTGTTCTGCCACTGCTGCGCAGCTTTAGTGTGTTTTTCGTCGTAGGAGCTGACAAAAGAAACCGGAATAGGCATTTCATTAGGTATAGACATCTCAGCCGGTACATCAGTTCCCACTTTGTCATGGTTGGTATCACTGACCAAATCGAATGATGCATCTATAAGAAGACCAGGTTCGCTTATGTCGACCACAATATTGTTCATGATATTCGCAGAAGCATCAACAGGAGCCTCAGCTTCAGAAAATGTTGTCCGACTCGACCTGCAAGAGACAATATTCCCAATACACAGTTCATGCAACGCGTACGAAAATACCAATGTATTCGATTAAAAAAAAAAACTACCTACTGCCGGGCATGTAGGACGCATCAATGGCAATGATTTCTTCAGTTGTAGCATATATCATTGCTGTGTCACAGTCGTGATGGAATTTGATCATCCGCTTGAGGTCTTTGTCATTTGAAATGCTGATCAGGTTCTTCCTGTTTCCAGGGAGGAAATACTTCATCGACATGGTTGCAAGGTTGTAATTAAACATCTCTGCTACCTCCGACTTGAAATCTTTGAACTTCATTTTATCGTCAACTTCCATGGCATGTGCATCACCACCTTCATAAGATAGTTCGCCTGCTGCATTGGTCTCGAATTTACCTCCTGACTGACAAATCACTATAACTTTCTTCTCGGCCATAGCTATTTAGCTGGAATAACTGGATGGTGACAAGATTGTTAGTAATGGTAGCTCAATTAACAACGATAGGACAAAACTTCAATGATAAGGTCTGGAACAGCTTCAAAATATAGTTTAATAGCACTGTTTGCTTTTAATTTTCACAATTACCAATAAGAATACACGATTTTCTTTCACAAACCACTATTACACAAACTCAAATTACTAATACAAACCCAAACCAAACAAAACAGCATTTATTGGGATTGTGAGTAGAGGTTTTAATTGGGAACAATAGAAACTCAAAACAAACACAAGTTTGTCTATTCAAAACATCGTATCCTAAATGTATTTTCTATGCAATCCAACCAAACACAAGTTTTTCTTTATTATTATTACTATTTTGTTTCCATTACTATGCACTCCCCACAATAACTTATAAAAATATATTATTTTCTTCACAAAACATCACATTCAACCACTATTTATAAACAAACACACACAAACCAAACACCCCCTATACCCAACACTTAATTTCCATTTCATTTATTACACAAAAAATCTATCCATTACAACTAACATCTGAATCACTCGAAAACATCCAAACACACCCTAAGAATTCCTTAAAAAAATTAATCACCTAAAACAAACATATCCAAGGGCTAATGCAGTTGTAAAAGCTTACGAAAGAAACAAGAAGTCAAGCATACATAATTTTAGGATGAATATAAAAAGTTTCTTGCATAATTCACATTTTAATCAAAGGGTGCATAAATCCCTATATTTGTTAACAAAATTAAGCCGAAACAGGGTTCTATGTAATCGTTTTTCCTAACAAGAGAGTGAATTATAATTTAAGTATACATCACTTCACCCAAAATTTAAGAATAAGGTTGGAAAGTAGCAACCTAACATGTGTGGGAAAAACAAGCTTATGACACAAAATTGGCATAAACATCAGTCACAAAAACATGATTCAAACGAGAGAGACAGAAAAGGGAATATGAAAGATTAAGAGCATAATCGGTGAAGGGTACAAGTCGAAATTCTAAATGCGCAATGGTAGTTCTGCCTAATTCCAACTAGTAAAAACCTTACAATCATCCAAGAAACAACCACAAACAGAAAAATTCGACAGAAACAATGCAACCCCCAAACATCAGTGGAAAAAAAAAATCAAAATAAAAACTCCATGCCGCTAATCAACTTGCAACTATTCGAAGCCAGTGTCCTATCATTCTTACACAGAAATGAAATTAGCGATTTGCATTACCGAGAGGCATTAACAAACAAACAAAATTAAATAGAAACATCAAGCGGTGAACTAAAAAATACACGACGTTCGATTAAAACTGGAAAAAAAAAAAAATCACCTGAAACCAAAATTGGGCCACCAGCTCGAAATTTTCGCCTTCCGATAGAAAGACACGAGCAGTTGTATCGTCAAAACCTGTTAATTCGTTGCAGAATCGATGAAAGGGGAGAAGGAGATGGCGGAGGGTATTTTCAATTAGGGCAAGGGGAAGCTTTTATTTGATTTATTTAAATAAGTAATTAAACATTCCTTTTATTTGATGTTTATTGACTTAATCGGATTATGTGTTTAAAAATAAAAATTGCATACCGAGTAAGATTTTTAGTACTATTTATTATAATTTTTATATAGAAATAATAATGATGTTCTCCCCCCCTTTTTTTTTCATGTAAATCTATAGTTAAAGGCAATAATTTTGGATTAGCTTATTTATTTATTTTTTGTTTTGGGTTGATCCGGCCCAATTTTAAATTTGTTCTAAATAATTGGCCCAATTTAATTTTGAATTAGCTTATTTATTTAATTTTTGTTTTGAGTTGATCCGGCCCAATTTTAAATTTGTTCTAAATAATTGAAGAATCTAGATTCAAGAACAGCACTGCTTGAAATCCTGTGGGTTGGGCTAATTTTTTTTTTTTAATTATTATTATTATTATTATTTTTTAATTTAAAAAATTTGGGACTTTTGAATTAACTTTATTCTTTATTAAAAATTTTATAATATTTTAAACAACATACAGATACTGGAGTTACTAAAATTATAAAATTTATCTTTGCAATAGAACACTTCCATGTATGGACATTTCATCTTATGAAAGTAGGTTTGTTTAGTTTTAATTTGAAATTAAGATGATAATTTAAGTTTTAATTTAAATAATATTTTAATCTAATATATTATAAAAGAGGAATAATGGTTTTTTTATTTTTTATTTTTTATTAAATACTGTGTGGTATGAATAATAGAAGTTTTGATTTAAAATGAAAAATAAACATATATATAATAGGTTTTAAATATTATTGTTAAAAGTAATACTGCAATTATATTATTTATGTATTTTATATAGGATTTTTTCATCCAACAATTATTTTTACATCCCATAAAAAATATAATATACATAGATACATCCATATAAGATAAATAATATATATTATGTTCTTTCAAAAAAAATTTCAACATAAAATATTACTAATAATAAACAAATTTAGAAAAATAAAAATGTGGACAAATTAATATGGGCTGTAATAATTAAAAATTATGTGGATAAATTAATATTTCGATTTAATACGTGGCCCGAACAGATATATTTATTTCGGGCTCAAAATATATTTTTTCCATTTTTCATATGACGCTAACCGTGAAAATACGAGAATTAAAGAAAGACATTGTTATTATTATTGTTATTATTATTAGTAGTATATTTTAGAATTTCTTGAAATAGACTAGGTTGTTATTTGATTGGTAGTAAGTTTGAATCCGAAATTTTGATTTTTTATTTTTTAAAGCAAATAAAAGATTCATATTTGTTGGTCTCTCAAAACATACTGAAACTGTGACACAACCTAATTTCTACTGTCTTTCTCTTTGGGACGTGAGAGACACAATTAAATTGTTGTTTTAAGGGATGAAAAATAAAATATTCGGAACTACAAGAACAATAAATTTGTGTAAAATTTGGATAGGATCTTAGGCATAAATAATGAATTACTAAAAACTTAAATTCAAACAAGTTGAAAAAAAAAAAGGAAAAAAATGACTGAGTGTTGAATAAAATTGCAAAATTTCTTAGTAAGTTTAACATTCTACATTGAATTAAATCAATTCATTTTTAAACATTGGGTTTTTGATAAAATCTTGTGTAAGTAGTCTAAAAATTAAAATAGCTGATTAAGCAGGGTCTTGGTGCACGTACGACGTGGTTCATAATTGTCCCTTTTAAAATAAATGATAATTGATTTTGGATTAGAAGGAATTAGGAATTATTCCAATCCCCTTTTAGATGATTGGGCAGTCAATTTTGAAATATGCTTAATTAATCATAACAATCCATTATTTAAGATAACACAGTGCCTTAATAGAATATTTAATTAGAGAATCTAATAATAATAATAATAATAATATTATTATTATTATTATTTAAGATAACACAGTGCCTTACTAGAATATTTAATTTTTTCTATTATTTAGTTATTATAATCTTAATTTATAGTTATTTTTATTAATACACTTTGAAATTATATACTAATTATACTTTACCTAAATTTTCATGTATTAATATATATAATATGGTTGACAACTCTTGTCCAAACATTTAATTCAATAACAATAAAAAATAAATAAAATCATGGACTAGAACAAATTTTATTTTCAAAAATTAAAGAAACCATCCCTAAAATTATTTCTCGGAATAAAGTGCTTAAAATTTATAGTGAAAATGGAATTCAATATTTACAACAGTTTTTGCAAATAGATTAGACAATTAAAAAAAGTAGAAAATTCTTTCTATCATTAACTTTTATTTTTCCATCATTCATAAGACAGTGTTCAGCATTAATTTTGTAGGCCATTTTTGTTGATCAGCAAATACTCCAATATATATATATATATATATATGTATGTATATATCTGTATACACACAAATTTACTCAATAAGCAATATATTTGTCAAATTATTGAAATACAATGAAGAAATACAGTGTTTGTTTGTTGCTTCTTTGCTGTCTTCTAGGGGTTGCAAACTCCCTTCACCAAGATCATCAAAAACAGGTCACTTACTCCCTTAAAGTTAAAAATTATTTATATCGATTTTTCACCGTTTAATTTTTTTTTTTTTCGATACGCACAGGGTTTGTTTTGGTGCGTAGCACAACGGGCCGCTTCGACTAATAAACTGCAAGCTTTTCTAGACTTTGCTTGCGGTAAAATTGATTGCGCGCCCATTCAGGCCGGCGGCGCATGCTTCACTCCCGATACCGTATTTAGCCACGCGAACTATGCTCTCAATTTATACTACAAAAAGTTTGCTGAGTGCGATAAGACCGTCGGCATTCGAACCCCAAACGATCCATGTATTCTCTCTTTATATATATATATATATATATATATGCGCGCGCAAACGAACGATTTAATTTGTACAACTGACAATATATATTTTGTGTTGATGCAGCATATGGTGATTGCAACTATCCATGAAGGGAAGGGAAGGTAGAGATTGGAGAAGGGTGAAATAAAATTTTTAGGAATAATTCATAGAATTTGCAAGAAAAAATGCCTTTGGGTAATGCTTTTGTAAGAATGCATTTTGTTAAAAGGCTTGATTCCTATTACATTACATTGTCATATTTCTTCAATGAGATCAACAACTCAGCAATCATCAAATTAAAATTACCCGTAATTAAACAGTGATTTATAAGATGGTCAGGGTGTTGATTAAAGTATAAATTAATTTATAAGCATACATTTTAAAAATCTTACCAATTGAATAATGTAAATTTGAATTTAAAATTAAAGGCAAATAAATCCATTGTTAATTGTCCATATCACAAGGTTCTATCTTAATTTCTAATGATAATGGATACTATCAATTAATATTATTATATGATATGTGATTCCCATTAGCACTTTAATTTGTTTTTTATTTTCATGTTTCTACATGTATATATTTATTTTGTTATTTTTATTATGAAATAATATTTAAATGTAATATTTTTGAATAAAAAATAAATATTAAATATAATATTATATATATTTTAAAAAATAATAGTAAAATAAAGTAAAAAATATGAGTAAATACACCTATTATATATATATATATATATTTCTTTAAATTAAGTTTAATTAGAATAGAATATTTTGCTCCGTATTTGTTAAAATTGACAAAAATAGATACCGTCTAAAAGCTTGATTTGAATTCGGCACTAAAAAACTATGTTTGAGTCTCTAAAAATATGATTGAAATTTTTTAAACCGTACCTGACCTGACCCAATTTATTAAAATTAATACTACGTTTGAGATTTAATATCTTTATATGTATATTAATTAATGAAATAATATTAAAAATTATGATATAGCTTAATAGTAAAATACTTGTCTTGTCTACATATGGTTGTGGGTTGATTCCCACCTACATCAACAGAGCCGGATCGAATTGTCACCCCTAATATTTGTGTTATTACACTCAATATATTCTTCTGAAGAATATGTTAATTTTACAATATTAATAACATAATTTTATTAGATGTGAGCTTTAAATCATTTTAATCTATACACTTACACTCATCAATCTAACAAATTTACAAAATGCTATTAATCAATTACAAATAACAAATGCATCTATAAACAATAAATATGATGTTCATAAAAGATGATATCATTTTTATAGGGTATTGTTATAATTATATGGTAAAAGATTATTATTATTATTATTATTATTTATTTTTAAAAAACAAGAACATCTTGAATAATAGTTATAAACAATATTTTTATATTATTATATTTATTACAAAACATCACCTCATTTCAAATCAATTTTAAATTACACTCAAATAAATATTTCTCAAAAATAAAAATTTATTTTTCATAAATTATAGCATTGAACCAAGACACAAACACAAAACAGCACATCCAAAGCAACCCTTAAAAGGTTTAAAGTACTCATCACTTCATATGGATTCTACCTAGCAAAATACATACACACACACATATATATATATATATATATATATATAAAACTAAAGAAAATCTTGTACAGGCTGTGCTATCTATTAATGTATATATAGTTGGAATATTTGAAGTATTTATTTAATTAAATAAATACATGAAGCTAATCCAAAACAGAAGAAATGCACAATACGATTAACTTAAACTACATTATTTATCATTTCTAAAAGCGTATAATTATTTATTACAAAGAAAGAATATAATTTAATATATAGAACAAATTGTAGCTTGTGTGTACATACATATACATACATACATTATTGGAGTATATATGTTATGTTGTTATGCAATATAATTTAATTATTTTATTATTGTTGTTCAGACACAATTATAAACTAATAAAAATTCTCTTTCCACTTTTCTTTTAATTTCATATTAGGGTTTATTTTAAGAATCCCAAAAGTTAGACACAGCTTGAAGGCAATGTTGGAAGCTTAAACTTAAAGTTCTTGGTCTTTACCTTTTCCATCTTTTTTTAATTATAAAAGGTAAAACTTTATATTCTACAGCTTCCTCTTCTTCTCTTCTGCTATAAAAATAATAATA